GTACTAATTTACATTCCCACCAACAGTTCAGGAGAGTTCCCTTTTCACCACAGCCTCACAACAACTTCTTAAATAAGACCCTCAAATCACAGGCATTAATCCCAAAAATAGGCAAGTGGGATTACATCATGTCAAAAAGTTTCTGCACTATGAAAAGAAACAATAATTAAAGTGAAGCGACAATCCTTAAAGTGGAAGAACGTATGCCCATAAGTATGTAATATTGTGATATAAATTTTGTAACTTCATGATGTAAAGTATCAGGACTCTTTCAGGTGCAACTGACAAAAATTGAAATCAAACCACCTCATGGAAGAACAGGAATTTACTGGCTCAGACAAGTGGAAAATTTAAGGGAAAATATACTTCAAGCATAGATATATCTAAAAACTTGATATTGTTCTTACTCTCCATTTCTCCACCAATGAGTTCTGCTTTTCAATGCCTCTCTTTGTGCATTTGCTTCATTCTTACCTGAAACTCACAAGTTATTCTCTGTAAGCAAAAGAGTCATTCTGTCTCTTATCATCAATATTTAAAAATCTCACTTTCAATTTTATACCCTATGTGCACACCTAGACCAAGTATATTGGTGAAGAAGATAGTCAACCTGGCTGAGGTCTGTGTACAACTGGGGAAAGGCAGAAAAAGCAAGTCCACCATGACTCCTGAACTCAATATAGAGCAATTCCAGGGCCATCAGGTGGTGTGGTGGTCAGGGGTGCTGGACTCCCACATGGCCGACTATGGTTTAAGTCCGAGACCTGGAGGCTTGCTTTCTCATTTTCCCTTGTTCCTTCTGCATCTCTCTTGTCAAATTAAAATAATAATAGTGACCAGCAGTTAGCGTAATGGCTATGTCGCTGAACTCCCATGTTGCCGACAGTGGTTCAAGTCCTGGACCAGGTGGCTTAAACTCATGCCAGGCGCGTGTGCGGGTGTACCCAAGATCCTGAGAGGAGAATGGAGGAGAAGGGATTGCAGCATGGCCATCCCCCCTGGGGGGTGATTTCTCACTTTCTATCTCTCTATCTGGCGAGTGCATGTGCCCTATAGCAAAAAATAATAATAATAATAAAAATTTTTAAAAAACCTCTCCATAATAATAATAATAATAGTAATAAAAATGTTAAACAAGATAATTCTTTATAAAAAAAATTTTTAAAGATAGAGCAGTTTCCCTGATGAAAGAGAAGTATTGAGCAGACAAACACAACACATGTCCATCTCACATGGCCAGTCCTGTATGCGGTTAAACAGAAAAATTTGTTGAAAGATATGGTTTAAAAAATAAGTAAAATACAAATATTTTATTCTTGTCTATTTTGTCCTAATCTGATTTTGTTTCATTATATTTTATTTTCTTCTATTCTGTCCATTTTCATACCCATCTCATTCCATTTCACATCCAGGGCAGCTAGCTAACTCTTCTATCTCAGCTCTTCCATTTCCCTTGCTGAGGAATCCTTCCTATCTGCATACAAACACACTGCCACATTTTCCATCAGAACTAGGCCCTGCTCAATCTCGCATTCCTCTACAGCTACCATGAGTTCCCTCTCCTCTTTATAACACAACTCAAGGACTATCTGTATTAAAGGGACCAGCAGTTAACGTAATGGCTGTCACTGGACTCCCATGTAGTCAACCGCAGTTTGAGTCCAGGACCCAGTGGCTTAAAACTCACACTGGGTGCGTGTGCGTGCGTGCCCAAAATCCCGAGAGGAGAATGGAGGAGAAGGGATTGCTGTGTGGCCATCCCCCCCGGGGGATGATTTCTCACTTTCTGTCTCTCTATCTCTCTCTCTCTCTGACTGTCTGGCGAGCGCATGTGCCCTATAGCAAAAACCTCTCAAAAAAAGAGAGAACTATCTGTATTCATTATCTCTTTTCTCTTCTTTTTATACCTTGCATTATGTTCTTAATCTATCCCAATCAGACTTCCAGCCCCCACTTCTCTGAAACCTCTCTATCACCAAAATAATAAAAAGATCTATTCTGTCATTTTTTATGGTCAATTCTCAACTTTTGCCTTGTTTGTTGCTGAGTAAGACTTGACACATTCAGTCATCTTGGGTGACTTTCTTCTCATGGATTTCACAATACTTTGCTTTCTTGGATTTCTCCCTACCCTGGTGGTCTTACCTCTCTGGTTTCCTTTTCTAACTAGTCTCCTTCTTCTTACTGACTCTATACTTCAGAACAGCACAGAGTTTAGTGCTCGGTCATCTTCTCTTTATTTCTACTCATTCCTTTGGCAACTTCTGCCAATACACTGCCTTCAACAACCATCTACTTACTGAAAATGCTTACATTTTATATTCCACTCCTAATTTCATCTCTCATTCCCCAATTTGTATGTCTAACAGTTTATTTAATATCATAATTTAAATGTCTGAAACGTATCTCAAACTTAAAATGTTCATATAGAATTTCATTATTGCCCTTCACTAAAAGTACATTTCTATAGATGTTTTACATGTCACCAAATAAAACTGCATCCTAATTGCTCAGGCTAATAACTTCAGGGTTGCCCTTTCATAAAGTATCCACTCCCATTTCAGGAAAAAATGGAAATTCTATTCAACAATCAACACTTTTCCTTGATTTTTACATACCCTATTCAAGCCATCAGCAAGTCCTATTGGCGTCTAGCCTCCTAATATATTCCTTTACCACTTTCAACAATACCAGCTAGTCCAAGACTAGATTATTGCATCAACTTCCAACCAGAATTCTTCCCGCTACTCTTGTTTCCTACAGCCAAAGTTCTAACCAGTGGTCAAAGTACACTTCTCTTTTAAAGTACCACGTATTTTATCATTATCCACACAATCCTTCATAAGCTGGTGGTTGCCTATTTCTCCAGTCTCATACTATAACCCTTACCCTCACTTGTTCATTTTACCCAGACTTTGTGTTGTTCCTTAAATATCCTATGTCAATCACATATCAAGAGTTTTTACATTTGCTTCTCTCTGGCTTAGAAAGTTTCATCAGATCCTCCTTGATATTCATATATAGGCAATGGTTAAACCTCATGTATAGGAAGCTGGATCTCATGTGGCTAACTTCAGAAACACACCATATATATGTGTGCTCAAACAACTTGATGGGATGGAAAAATGTAGGAAAAACTATTATAGTATACCCTGTTGGGAGAGTGCTTTCTCTTCCTTTCTCTCCCTCGCTCTCCCTCTCTCTCTCCCCCCCCCTCTCTCTCTCTCTCTCTGTCTCTGGGTCTCTAGAGAGCACAGATGCCTTCTGGCATACATACATACATACATACATACATACATTGAAGTAGTTCTTACTATCCTCTTAAATTGCACCATTGTTCCTTTTAACACTCACCCACCAACACCTGGCAACTAGTATTTATTGTTTTGTATATTTGTTTACAATCTGGCTTCCCAGATAGAGTGGAAGCTCTATAAGGGAGAAACAATTCCAGTTTATTCGTATCTGTTTTCCTAGCATCTAAAGCAATGCCTGAAAGGTGATAGGTCCTTATTAAATAGTTAATGAATGAGGAAAATGCCAGAAACTGTTTAAAGAAACTGGAAAAAAAAAAATGGAACTGTCAAGATAACAGGTACCAGAAAGAAGTTACAGAAAACATCCCTCTGTTCAATTAGAGAGTTTTTATTAGAGACAGAACATCTCTAACCTAATTAGGTTTGCAGGAATCTAACTGATTTTTAAATACTGTTAAAAGGCACAGCAAACACTGTAGAGAATGTCAAACTCCTGACAGGAAAATGACAGTCAGAATTTGTCAGGAATATGTAATGAACATCTCACAACTGAGTAGGCAATGATTAACAGATTGCGTCTTAGAACTAATATGTGTAAGCAATGCATATAGAATTTGATAACTTCCAGTTATCTTTGTAAATCTGTTATGCTGTATTTCTTTCTCATTTATTATTAAAAGTTATTACTATTTATTATTTATAATTTAAAATTTGCCTCATAAATTTCTAAGAGAAATAGTCATTTTATTTTCTCAATTCTGTTCATATTTGATCTGTTCATTTTTCACACTTTTCAAACTGCCTGGGTACTGCTAAACTAAATAATTGGCATGTCTTCTCACAAATGAAAGATAACCAAAGGATAAGGTAATAGTTCTTAAAAACTTTAAGAATCTATACAGTAATCATCTCCCAGAATATCAGCTCATTTGAATCCCTTTTCAAACACTCTGCTTCCACTATCCCAGCTAAGTTGGTAACAACCCAGGTGCCGCTGCCATCGCTGTAAACAAATAGAACAGAATTGGACTGACTACTAAATGCATTATTCCAGCAGTCTCTGCCCACAATTCTGAGATAGTCTTCAAAAACTCTAGGGGGGGGGGGGGCCCCCCGTCCTTAGGGGGGGGGGAACTCCCACTTGCAAAAATATAGATGTAATTTATCCTATTCCTTCCACTAAATATAACTAAATATTACATTATATACACACACACACACACACACACACACACACGTATATATAACATAAGATGACTAAAAAAGGTTGAAAGAAGGCAGCAAGCCAACTGATCCTTGAGACCCAGTAAACACCACAATGATAACTTCCTTTGGTTTTCTTTTGTCCTCAAATAACATAGACTGTATGCTTCAAAAGGTAGAAACCTAGAATCACCAACAGAAACAGAGAAGTCCCAACAAAACTCTCTAGTCAAAATATCAGGAAATGAGCAACCTAGGAAGACAGAAGACTTGTAGATAATCACTTCTCTACTAGACTCAAACGCCATATATACCTGTGTCCTATTCACTGAAGGCTGAGTGAAGATCTTGGACTGCCACCCTTCCCAAGCTGAACTGAGTACTCAGAGTTTTTACTAATGTGGTGCCAAAGAGATCTGATTAGTTATCTGGGACATTCACCCTCACTAAGTGATAAAAAAAAAAAACCAGTGCCACTGGACTTCACATGGAGAACCTGGATGTCTACAAGCCTCACCTGGCAAGAATAAAGTACCTTACCTCTATCCTGATGACATGGTGAGCAAGGAGTTCTGGTGGACAGTGAGATCTATAGACAAAAATTAATAAATATATAAATAAAAATAAAAACTACTACCCAAGTCCCACAACACAAATGCTACTCAAAGTGGATTACAATCAATGTGGGAATCCTTTTTAAAAATATGAGAAAATTCTTGGGATCTATAGAGAAACAAAGGGTTTCTAAACTTGACACCAAAATCATAATCCATGAAAGAACAACTTTATATCAGATTTATTGAAAACTTTTGCTCTGTAAAAGATTCTATAAATAGGATGAAAAGACAAGCTACAGAGTGGAAGAAATATTTGCAAGCCACATATTCAATGAGGAACCAGCATCTAAAATACATAAAGAATCCTCAACACTCAACAGTAAATAAAAACAAAAACCAAACAGACCAATTTAAAATTGAAAAGAGGGAAGCAGGCGGCATAGTGCTTAAGGCACTGGGCTCCCACATGGTTGACTACAGTACAAGTCCTGGACCTGGTGACTTGAGGGTCATGCTTGGTACCTATGTATGAGTGCTCAAAATCCCAGGAGAAGAATGGAGGAGAAGGGACTGTGGTATGGCCATCACCCCTGTGGGATGATTTCTCATTTTCCCTCTACCGTCTCTCTCTGGTGAGCATGTGCACCCTATGTCCAAAACCTCAAATAAATAAATAAATAAAAATAAAAGTTTGCAAAAGATATGAGCAGATATTCCACTGAAGAGTATATATAGATGGTAAACAAGCACATGAAAATATCCTCAATATTATTAAGCATTAGGAAAAGATAAATTAAAAGCACAATGATTTTTATATCTTTCAGAATGGCTAATATTATGACTAACAACGGCAATCAAATGCTGACAAAGATGTGAAAAAACTATATCTTACACATTGTTAGTGTGAATATAAGATGGTATAGTTACTACATGATAGTTTGACAGTATCTAAAAAAAAAAAAAAAAAAAAAAAAACTAAACATCTAAACATGCAACCAGCCTACAACCCAACCCAGCAATTGTGTTACTGGACATTTATCCCAGAGAAATTAAAACTAATATTCATAAAAAGTATTGCACATGAGTATTTAAAGTAGTTTTACCTGTAATAACAAAAAAGAAAAAAGAAGCAAACAATTTGGATGTCTTTCAACAGTTAAATGATTAAACAATTATGTGGTATAGCCATACCACAGAATACTACTCAGCAATAAAAAGGAACAACTATTAATACACACAGACTCTGAATACATCCACAGAGAATTACACTATGAGAAAATTCCAGATAGCTATATTTTGTATGATTCCATTTGTATACTATTCTTTAAATGACAAAGTTACTATGAAAGAGAACAGATTAATGGTTGCCAGGAGTTAAGGAAGGGGTAGAGACAGGAAAGAGTATGTGGCCATAAAAGGGTAACACAAGGGATTCTTATCTTGCTGATATTAGGATCAATATCCTGATTACGATATGGTATCATAATTTTGCAAGATGATATCTTTAAGAGAAATTGGGTAAAGGGTAAATAAAATTTTATACATTATTTCTTGCTATTGCGTTTATACCTATTATTACTTCAGAATCAAAAGTTTACAAATTAAAGCATAACAAAACAAAAAAACCCAGCAAGTCTGTTTGGAAAAGCTTGAACTAGGAAGTGGTGTAAAGGCTGGGGAGGTGATGTTGGACCAGGTAAAGCAGAAAATAATCTTTAGCAGTAAGTAACTGGAGGAAGAAGCAGATGTTGTAAGTGACATTAGGAATAAGCAACCACAGACTGGCCATGTGGTATAATGGTTAAGTGAGCCAGATCCCACCTGGCCAACTAGTTTGAATCCCAGCCCCAGCAACTAGAAAAACATGCCAAATGTGTGTGTATTCATGTCCAAAATCCCAACAGGATGGAAAATGGAGGAGAAGGCATTGCCCTCCCATTAGGGATGATTTCTCTCTCTCTGTCTCTGGTGAGTACACAAGCTCTCTGATAAAAAAAAAAAAAAAAAAAAAAAAAAAAAAAAAAAAAAAAAAAAAAAAAAAAAAAAAAAGACAACAAAAAAAGCAACAATCAAGGAAAAAGGAAAAGAACCCAACTAAACAGAGAATAGCACTGAGGCCTCCTGACAGATGAGATCTTGATTCTACTCCATTAGAAAGTATAGTGACACTTCCTGCCCCTGAGATCTGGAAGGGCCTGTATCCTTCCACCTGACTTTCCTTTGAGCTTAAATTAGTTCAGATGAGTTTTATTCCTTGCTGACAAACAATTCCTATCTATATAAGATGACAATATTCACATTACCTAAACACTCACAACCAAATGGAATATAATAAAAAATTAAACACACTCTTACCATATGATCCAATAAACTTGCTCTTTGATATTTGTCCAATAGAGGTAAAAATGTATGTCTGTACAAAAATCCATACACTGACATTTATAGTAACTTAATTCATAATTGCTGAAGTTTGGAAGCAATCCCGATGCCCTTCGTTAGGTGAATGGATAAAATATAATACATCCATACATTAGTCAACAATAAAAAGAAATGAACAATCAGGGCCAGCACGTGGTGTGGGGGTTAAGCTGCTGGACTTCCATGTGGTCAACCACAGTTCGAGTTCCTGTCTCAGTAGCTTGAAACTCACACAGGGCATGTGTGCATGCATGCCCAAAATTTCAGGAGGTGAATGAAAGAGAAGGAATTATGATGTGGCCATCCTCTCTGTGGGGTGATTTCTCACTTTCTGTCTCTCAAGCAAGCACATGTGCCCTATAGCAAAAATCTCTTAAAAAATAAAAAGAAAGAAATGAACAATCAACCCATAAACACAGATTAAATGCATAATACTAAAAGAAAGAAGCCAATTTTAAAAGACTATATATTCCATGATTCCAACTATGTGACATTCTGGAAAAGGGAAAACTGCAGAGACAGTAAGAAGATCAGTGGTTGTCAGGGGTAATGGAAAGACAGGGATGAGAAGGCAGAACACAAAGGATTTTTAGGACAGCGAAAATACTCTACATAATGCTATAATTATGGATATATGTTGTTATACATTTGTCCAAATCCATAAAATGTATTAATACCAAGAGTGAAATCAAATGTAAACTCTGAACTTTGAATGATTATGATGTTCAAGGTAGATGCATAGAGCGTAACAAGGTACCACCCTAGTGGGGGATGTTGATAAAAGAGGAAGCTGTGTGTGTGCAGGACAGAGGATATAAGAGAAATCATGTATGAAAAATCATGCACCTTACTCTCAAGTTTGCTGTGAATCTAAAACTGCTCAAATATATAACCAAAAACATGTCCTAAAACTCTATAGGGATCTGGACCAGCTGGTGGCATGGTGGTTAAAATGGTTAAAATGGCTAAAGCCCACCTGTTTGACTGCACAGTCCAAGTCCCAGACCCAGTGGCTTGAGAAACACGACAGGCATGTATGTGTGCATGACCAAAATCCTGAAAGAAGGGAGATATGGAAGAAAAGGGATTGTGGTAGGACCATTCCCCACTGAGGGAAGCCTTCCAAAAAAAATAAAATCATGCTGGAGGCATGTGTGTGTGTGTGTGTGTGTGTGTGTGTATGTATCCCTGGGGTATATATAAGGTGCTATATAAGGTGCTGGACTTCCATGTGGTCAACCACAGTTCAAGTTCCTGTCCCAACAGCTTGAAACCGGAGTGTGTGTGTGTGTGTGTGTGTGTACCAGTTTCAAGGTGCTGAAACCTGAATATATATATATATATATATATATATGCCAGCCCCACATAGCCAGTACTTAAGGGAACTAGATCCTATGAGATAACTGCAGTTCAAGTCTGGCCCAGCAGCTTAAAAAACACTTCCAGGTGCATGTGCATGTTGCATGTCCAGGATCCTGATGGGATGAGGAAATGAACGAAAAATAATTGCATTGTGACCACATCCCATTGGGGTGCTTTCTCTTTCTCTATATATATATTTATATAAATAAATAATATCTAGTATTGATTATAACTGTTAGCAATGTACATGTTCAGATTGATTAAATTAAATATTTAAATTTTGGCTTGAGACGTCCCATTTTCAGTAAGAAAAATCTTCTCAATTATTTTTTCAGAAGTTGAACCAGACTGTTTAAAACCTCCTTCACTTTCCTTAAATTAATTCATATTCTGAAGGAAAACATTTAAGATCAACCTGACTGGTACAGGATATCTACATTTAAGCTATAGCATTAGTGGCAATAAGTTTATATTATTGGGTGATGTGGACAATGGGTGAAACAAAATTCTTCTGCTTATGCTCTTTTTTTGTGTGTGAAATAGAATTTTTTTACTTTAGATAAAACATTACTATTTTTTTCTTTTTTCTTTTTTATTTCATTTTTTATGCATTCAATTACCTTTCTTAGCTTACAAAGTGAATATTTCAATATGTGAACATTTCTCCCTAGTTCAGTTGATTAAACTATAAAATATCTTCAACAGATAATACTACATTTCTTTGTCCCATTAATGCTTTGCCTCCTTATTTTCCTTCTAAATGCCCTTCCTCGGGCCCTACTCTTCCTTCTGCTTATGCTCTTAATGAGGTACACAATTATGTGCAAAAGGTAATATTGATCCCTTCTTACAAAGCAGAGAAATAATTCAATTTAAAAATAATCATCTTGGGACCAGTAGTTGGTATAATGGTCATGTCACTGGACTCCCACGTGGTCAACTGCAGTTCAAATCCCAGACCTTGTGGCTTAAACTCACGCTGGGCGCGTGTGTGTGCATGCCCAAGATCCCAAGAGGAGAATGGAGGAAAAGGGATTGTGGCATGACCATCCCCCCTGGGAGGTGATTTCTTGCTTTCTGTCTCTCTGTCTCTCTCTGTCTTTCTGGCGAGTGCACGCACCCTATAGCAAAGACCTCTAAAAAATAAATAAAAATACAAACAATTCTCTTGAAAGCATTTATTTGTTTAAAATAGTAATTATGTTTCCATCTCATAAAATTCAAATTTACAAAGTTAGCCACAAAA